TCATCTTGGCTCTGCAGCATTTGCTATACCTGGAAGATATTCAAGTCAAATTAGTGATACATAATCAATAACAGCATCTTGATTTCAGTATGGATGCCTCCACCTCAACTAGAAGTCCTATTCCCTTCAATCCAACTCCAACTAAAAGTTGTATGCTGTTAGGTACAGTGTGTAACAAACAGTAGCATTAATTGTTGAAAAATTTGTTTCCAAATGTAAAGTTCAATGGGAGATTAAACATCTTCTTGTCCTTGCTCCTTTTTCAGGAAATAAAGGACAGACTCCAAGAATCACATCTTTAAGTGTTTTTGCACTATGTCCCAGGGTCATGTTCAAGCCCTTCAGCCTCAGGCTCAGTAAGAGAATGGTAAAGGGAATATATTGGAAAAAAAAGTTCAAGTCACATGGCTGATGGCAGTTTGTTGGTGTGGTTTCAGTGGGACTTATTAAAATGTTACCAAAACATGTGTGTGTGTGCGCGCACGTGCGTATACACAGAAGGACACATTTTTGTTGGTGTCCAAATTGTTTAGAGACAATAGAAACCAACCTGGTTTTTGGCTTCAATTTGTTCCACTGTGTCCCTGTCTCCGGTACTAGTCCCTTACTCCCAGGCCTATTAGGAGAGCTAGGGAGAGGGATATTTTTGGACAAGGGAGTGGAAAGCAAGTGGCTAGCTCCTCTGGTGGTGATGGGTTTCTGTGGGAGTTATTAAGTTGTCGCTAATACGTTTGCAAACGATCCATTTACTGGAAAAAATCATTTTGGTCTATGTCCATGTTATCAATGGCAAGAGAGGAAAATCAATGCCCTTATCTTCAGCTCCATCAGTTATTTGTCAAAGCAGGTCCATGTACCTAAAATCTTTACAAAGTCCATCTGCATGTCTTGAAAAGTATAAAAGATGATGTGGTCGAACTAGATATATTTGCGAATAAGTTTGAAAAAGAGAACTGGACTTCAAGCCCTTTCATTGCCCTTTGTTTTCTCATCCAGAAGAGGAGTCGTGGCTCCTTACCTGGATGTCCCTTTGCACAGCATGTCGTAGGTGACAATTAGAAATGTACACATGTTGACTGCTTCTCACATGATGTCATACAGAATCCTTTACTGTGGGGAGAGTTAAGTAAATACATAGCTAGGTAACGATCAGTTGGTAAATTGCTTACACAGTACCATTTGGTTTTTTATATCAACTCGATTATCCGTGGAACAGCAAGAGTGTGAAGTAACATCGTTGCACCTGGAATAGGAATTTTTGGTTATTGGTATTCCTAGGGTCATGGAGTCTGGTCCAGGAGATCCAGAATTCAGTGGCTCCTTAGTTCTACTCTTTCCATCTCAGCCATTATTGACCACTTTAAATGAAAAGCAGCAGACATAAAGAAAGGAATAGACCTACCCATGGAAGGGACAAATATGTATTGTATGAGAAGAATCTCAGGTTGTCAACCCTGACATATTAAATATGCAAAGGAACTGAGTGGGGTCTTTGAACTGAGCCATGAGATTTGCTGAAGAGAATTCTGAATCTATATTGGACTTTTTATTTAATGAAGCTGGAATTTAAAGGGTAAAATTAAATCAGAACAAGAATACCAGCAAATGACATCATTTCATTTTTCTTTATAGCTGAGGAGAACTG